AATAAAAGTTTAATTTTAAGTGAACTACCTATTTGAATACTCATTTTGAAATATGCATGCATTTTGAAATAGATTTTTCCTTTAGGTTTAAATTGCATTTGTTTATTTAAATCATATTTATTAATATTTTTCCTTTCCCTGCACAGAATCACAATGAACTGCTCGTTCTGACACCTTGTTTGGAATGTAAATATTTATTAACCCTTTGCAGGACCCCCCCCATTTCAATAGCAAAATATGACAAAAATGAAAAAGTAAGAGTAATAAATAATGCGTAAGTCACTGAGGTGTGTTTTGGTAGTGTAACAGCAGGTGGCAGCAGAACACAGACCCCTGAAGCTCCGTATCCCAGCATCCTCTGCTCCTGAGTGATCTGATCTGCAGCTTTCATCAGTATCTGCTGTGTTCGTCTGTGGCTGTGACTATAACGTCCATCCAGATCCTCATGGCTTCAGCGCTGTGAGCCACCAGGAAGAAGAGCCGCTCGTATGTTTTCACACAGAAGGTGAGACTCGGCCGCGGAGACTGAGAACGGCACAACGAGAGACGCAGAAATAAGTCAACTCTTAGAAATCATCTGATTTATAGAAATATATGTGACCCAGGAGCACAAAACCAGTCATAAGGGTCAATTTTGTGAAATTGAGATGTATGCATCATCTGAAAGCTGAATAAATAAGCTTTCCATTGATGTATGGTTTGTTAGGATCGGACAATATTTGAAAATCTGGAATCTGAGGGTGCAAAAAAATCTAAATATTGAGAAAATCGCATTTAAATGAAGTTCTTAGCAATGCATATTACTAATCAAACATTAAGTTTTGATATATTTACAGTAGGAAACTTACTAAATATCTTCATGGAACATGATCATGATTTTTGCCATAAAAGAAAAATCTATAATTTTGACCCATACAATGTATTGTTGGCTATTGCTACAAATATACCCCAGCGACTTAAGACTGCTTTTGTGCTGCAGGGTCACACACGAGAGTAAAACAGTCCAGTCTGGAGCTGGCTAAAGTCGTTATGAACTCACTGTTGTAGCTGTTCGCAGATGATCGTAATAAACCTCCTCGATGGCCTGGAAGTAAATCACGCCTTTGAGTTTCTTCTCATCGAGTTCTGAGGAAACAGGAGAAGAGCAGTGAGATCACACACTGGCTTCCAGCTCATATTAGTGTGACGTGTTTGTAATACAGCCATTCACAAGCTCTTCTCTCGGATGAACCTCTTTCATGAAGTCACACAGACATTTTAACTCAATATTTGAGTTTTTTAGGACACATTTTCTCTAATATTGGTGAATGCTTACATGATTATCGTTAACTAAAACTAAAACCATTAAAGAAAAGCACACACATTTTTGCGATTTGAAATCAAATATTATCTGAACTAAAAAAACTAAAAAAACAGCTAGTTGCTAAGGCAAAATGTCAAATTTTTGCTCAGTGTAACTTAAAGTACTAAAATAACTAACATGACTAAAATAACAAATAATAAAAACCATATAGACATATTTAAAAAACACACACACACACACACACAACAAAATTACTACAACTTTAAAATTAAAAATATAAAATAATGTCAAATTTTTGCTCAGTGTAACTTAAAGTACTAAAATAACTAACATGACTAAAATAACAAATAATAAAAACCATATAGACATATTTAAAAAACACACACACACACACACACACAACAAAATTACTACAACTTTAAAATTAAAAATATAAAATAAAAATTATTAAAAAATATTATTAATATTCTATTTAATATTAATATTACCGTTTAGTTTTCCTTGATGTACTAAAATAACTGAAACTAAAATACAAATAACTAAAAACTATATAGACATATTAAAAATAAAATACTACAACTAAAATTAAAATGGAAAATATAAAATAAAAATGATTCAAAAATATTATTAATATTCTATTTATTATATTAATATTTTCGTTTAGTTTAACTTTATGTACTAAAGTAACTGAAACTGAAATAAAAATAACTAAAAACTATATAGATTTATTTAAAAAACAACAAAATTACTACAACTAAAATTAAAATGGAAAATATATATATAAAAAAATAATTACAAAACATTATTAATTATTATTAATATTCTATTTAATATTAATATTATTAGTTTAACTTGATGTACTAAAATACTGATGTACTAAAACTGAAACTAAAATAAAAATAACTAAAAACTATATAGACATTTTAGTTTAACTAAACTGAAAATGGAAAACACAAAAATAAAACTAATTAAAAATATCTTTAAATGACACTGAAATAACACTGCATGGAATGCAAGTAAACAGATTAAATATCTATTTTTTAGTAAGTGTTTTATTTAGATTTTTTATTTGAATTATTTACATGCTATAGGGATGCACAACTTGGCCAAAAGATTATACGTTGATTATTTCGTCATATATTGTGATTTGAACTGCATTTGAAAATGTCTCAAAAATGTTCCAATACAAATATTTCTGTCTTAAATTCCTCACTTTCAAACGTCTAACAAGCCAGATCCTGGAGCTGTTATAATGGTGGAGTATTGGTGAGACGCTGCAAGCTTCTGCTGGAAATAATGTGGATGTAAAGAAAGCGGTGTGTTTGTGTGTGTCTCACCGGTGTAGTAGGCCAGTCTCTGGTGGTCCAGATCGAAGATGAACCACCTCCTCCTCCAGGTCTTCACTCGTCCTCCTCGTTTGGTCAGAAAGCCGCCGCACCTCCGGGGAGACAGACTGACCCCCATACAGCCCGACACGTTATGACCCAGAGCCTCCACGTGAGCCCGCAGGTCAAAGTTCACCGTCAGAGACAGCGGGACGCCCTGCTGCGAAACAGACAGAAACATTCAGCGGATTTAAGATTTCAAAGCATCATTAACTCGAGTAATCCACAGCACTCCAGTCCGTCAGTTTCAGTGTCTCAGCAATGGATGCTCTGCAGTGAATGGGTGCCGTCAGAACGAGAGCTGATAAAAACATCACAGTATTCCACAGCACTCCAGTTCATCAGTTAACATCTGGAGAAGACAAAAGCTGAGACAAATCCAGCATTAAGACATTTTTAACTAAAATACATTGAGTCCATAATCCATAATAATGTGAAAAAGGTCATCTGCTGTTGTCTCTCACATCAAAATCCAGCCACACATTTGTTTAGAACTGTTTAAACGCTGCTTGATCTGTGCAGATTTCTCTCCTGTGCAGAAAGCCGCCGCCCCTCCGGGGAGACAGACTGACCCCCATACAGCCCGACACGTTATGACCCAGAGCCTCCACGTGAGCCCGCAGGTCAAAGTTCACCGTCAGAGACAGCGGGACGCCCTGCTGCGAAACAGACAGAAACATTCAGCGGATTTAAGATTTCAAAGCATCATTAACTCGAGTAATCCACAGCACTCCAGTCCGTCAGTTTCAGTGTCTCAGCAATGGATGCTCTGCAGTGAATGGGTGCCGTCA